AGAGCTGATACTCTGAGCTGGAATGAGATCTCCTGGGATGAAAATTGGGTGTGAACAGAAGTTCTTGTCCAGAGCCTTGAGGAACTCACCAGGAGAGCTGGGTAGCAGATCGAAAGTCTGCTAAGGAAATGAGGTGAGTGTGCTCAGAGATGCAAGTAGAAGTCGGAGGAGAGTTTGAGCGCAGAGAGAGGGCTGGAAAGGTTTCTTGGAGGGTCTGTCAACTTGTTAAGCGGTTTGCGAAGAGGCCAAGAAAAAAAGAGAATCAAAGATTCTCCTTTCAGTACAACACCATGAAGTTTACTGAGAACCCTGGCCGTGGCAATGAGGTGTTGAGGGCCCATGACCGCAGCGTAATTGGCTGGGAAGTGAGTAGAATGGGGAGGCCAGGGAGAAAGGTAGGGACACGCAGCTCTTGGCAGAAAGTTGGCAGCGGGGGGAGGGTTGAACCGGGTGACTAGAACGAGATGTGGTTTGTTTTGTTTTGTAAATGGCAGGTAGTTATACAGGGTTGAAAGCTAATGGAACAGAATCCAGGGGGCAGGCGGAATTTGAAATATATGAGAGAAAGGGGCTATGGTTTATGGTGGACTTCCTGAGCAACTGAGAGAATGACAAACAATTTGAGAAATAGTTCTTGGCCTTAAAAAGTAGGGCCGGGCCTTCGATGGTACAGGACGCGTGCGTGGTATGTTTCAGGATCTAGCTAGGCTTGCAGTGTGGTAGACCAGTGATGGGGGAATTCTGGTCTGAGTGTTCGCATTTTCTCTGTATCTAAGAGATAAGGCCATCCTTAGGTGGGGGCATGCACGTCTGAGGTTTCAGGCCAGAAAAGGATGTTGGAAAATGTTCGTATGGAAGATGGAAGCGCTAGGTAAGTGGAGAGAGTTGTAGGTAACTAGGCGAAGTGGTAAGATTGCTAGGCTGTGTGGGGCCTAAGTGGACTGGCTGATCCTGAATCTATGGCATTATCCTGCCCTGGGCTTTATCTCTCAAGCTGTATTCAGCAACTTGGGCTCTGGCACAGAGAACAGCAAACATAGATCTCAGCTGGGGTCGCGTGGAGGGAGTAGGCTTTGGAAAGGGAGAGTTGAAGGGTCTGAGAGCCGTGGGTTGTGCACGGTCCAGACTTCCAAAGGCTGAAACCACCCAGGATGATGGTGGAGTCTGGGAAAAAAAGGAAGGCTGTGAATCCCTCCAAAGAATCTTCCTCGAAAGGAAGGAGCCGTTGGGGAGGTGGTAGATGACAAAAACTATCCAGAGAAGAGCGTAGCTGGATTGTACGAACTTCCAAAACGGAAGGGGTTGTTTCATTTCTTAGCAAGAGGGTGGAGCGAAATTGCCTGCGAGAAGCCATGGAAAGCCAGGAAAGAAACCCAGACCCTGACCTTGAGGTTCACCAGCAAGGGAGGGAGAGGCACCAACAGCCACAGCACAAGAAGACAGTGAAGCAAGCAGTGTCCTCGGGAGAAAGCCAGGTTGCGGGTCAGGCAAAAACACGGGCATTTGCAAAGCCGTCGTGGTGTGGAGGACAGAGTTGAAGTGTGTGGATGAGATCAAGGCAGGGCTTCCCATGTCACCCAGCTCCAGATTGCCACTGCCCCGTTTCTTTCCATGTGCAAGAGCTGCTTTGAAGCAAGCTTCCCTTTGCCCCTGACGAACGCTTTCGAGATCAGCGGGGAGAAAAGGTGATGTATATCTGGGCAGGCTGCTAATTAATTGCGGGGGGGAGGCGATTCAATGCCGATCCCAGCCACGCGTCGACTGAACGGCTGGGCAGTGCCGCAGGAGAAAGGATGGATCCTTTTTTCACGTGCAAGACGGGCAGCTCAAGGCAGAAAAGCAGAAGCAGAATTGATAGACCTCATCAACCCCACCTTGATTTACAAGGAGTCCGCGAGAGGACAGCAAGAGCTCTCTGATCGCGTGCAGAGCGGCCGCTTTGGGCCTAGAGTGCTGCTGACTCCGGGCAGCGGGTGGTGAAAGACAAGAGGCGTCTTGACAAGTGTGTGTCTCAAGCCTATCTGCAGCGTGGTTCTGTACGCTCAGTTGCAGCCTCTGTCATTCTCCTCCGTGCTCATTTAACACGATGGACTTGTTTGGCAAATCCTTTAGGTGGTGGGAGAATGGGACGAAGAGGAAGCTCGCGCTGAATCACGGAATAAAAGCTCTTGGTCCCTGTCGCACACCCGACTCCTTCTTTTCCTCATCCTCCTTGATGGTTGGGGTTGTGTCCAGTAACGAAAAAGAATGGCTGGGTGCGTCATCCTGCGTGTCTGTGGACGAGCTGCTTAGAGAGCCATGGAAAAAGGATGGTGGTGGAATTGTCTGATTTGGCTTGAAGGCTTGGTGTGAGGTGGGGGGTTGACACGTTCTTTAACCCACGTTATCTCGCGGAATCTCGGCGGGTCCTACTGAATAGCTGGTTCAGGCACCTCTGAGGGTCAGTACAAGCCCGTAAGCAGTGACATCTCTTCAGTGCTCCATGCCACACACACTGTGCAAGCACTTTGGGTGGATTTGTTTTCTCTCCCCCAAGTAGCAGCCTTATGTTTTTTGTTCTCGTATTCTAGAATATGTAACTGAGATGGTGGGAGGTAAAATCATCAGCCCAAGATCACACAGTGTGTTAGTAGCAAAGGCCAAACTCTGGGCCGTATCTGCGTGGCGCTCCAAGTGCCACACTCTTCACCAGAACACTCTCGAGCAGCGCACTCCAGCAACTAGAATGAGGGCCGCCTGTGAAATTTTTAAATTTCTTAGTAGCTACAGTAAGGAGGTAAAAAGAAACTGGCGCGGTTAACTTTAATAACTGATTCGGTTTAACCCAATATAGCCAGCATATCATCATTTCACATGGTGATCACTAGTTTATAAAGCATGACTGAGATATTTTGCATTCTTCTTTTTTCATACTAAGTCTTTGAAATCCAGTGTGTGCAGTGGCTCACGCCTGTAATTCCAGCACTTTGGGTGGCCCAGGCAAGAGGACAGCTTGAGCCTAGAAGTTTGCGACCAGCCTGGGCAACAGAGCAAGACCTTGTCTCAAAAAGAAGTGGCATGGTGGTGCACACTTGTAGTCCCAGCTACTTGGGAGACTGAGCCTGAAGAATTGCAAGAGCCCAGGGGTTCGAGGCTGCAGTGAGCCGTGATCGTGCCACTGTACTCCAGCCTGGGCAACAAAGTGAGAGCCCAGCTCCAAAAACAGACACAAAAGCAAAAATAAACCCCAGTGTGTCTTTTACACTTTCAGCACATTCTCAGTCCAGGCTGGCCACGTTTGAAGTGCTCGGTGACCTCCAGAGGCTAGTAGCTGTCCCACTGGACAGCTCCACGTTTCTTTTTTGAGTCGGAGTCTCACTTGGTCGCCCAGGCTGCAGTGCATGGCAAACTCTTGGCCACCACAACCTCCACCTCCTGGGCTCAGGTGATCCTTCTGTCTCAGCCTTCCAAGTAGCTGAAACTATAGGCACGCGTCACCACACTCTGCTAGTTTTTTGATTTATTGTAGAGATGAGGTCTTGCTGTATTGCCCAGGTTGATCTTGAACCTGTAGACTCAAGCAGTCCTCTCTCCTCGTCTTCCCAAAGTGCTGGGACGAGAGGCAGGAGCCACCACATCTGGCTCAATTTTATACTCTCTTGATGGAAAGAGATCTTTATCACCAAAAATTTGCTGAGTTTGTTACAGATTTTGCTCTGAGATGAGTAGACAGAGACCTTCTGGTGCATCTGTTGTTCTCTGTGATACAGTGTGAGACAGGGTTCATGATGTCCTTACTCTCATCCCTTTGTCCTGTGTGGTGGTCTTCTCTTTCAAAGATGTGTAGGTACATTTGGGTGCACATGTGTGTGTTTTCATTTTACAGCAAGTATCCACCAAATGTATGCAGTCCTTAAAGAGTACTCTATGATACTTAGAGTAAATGAAAAAGGGAGACAGCATCTTGCTAAAGTGAAGATCAATATAGGTTTAAGTCCCTTTGCTATCTGTTTTAACTTGGGCAGTTAATTTCTCCAGATCTGTCTTATTGTCTGTGATCTGTCCTTGCAGCCTTATAGACTATCCTTAAGCTGTCCGTAAAGGGTAGACTATTAAGGGACAAAACCAGGTTATGCATTTAATGTAATTCCTGGGAAGGAGGAGGTAATTATTACGCAGTTTGTTCAAAGTCCTTGTATAGTTACTACCAAGGATCAGTATGAGCAGAGTATACACTATATAGAAGTTACAAAACAGCTTTACAGACAACCTATATCTGTTTATGGACTGGCGCGTCCATATATGACTTAAATTTTAGTTGAGCATTCTCAGTGTGAAGACTAAGTTGCTTTCATATCTTTGTGTATAAATATCATTATATTGAGATCTGTTTTGAAGGCCTTTAGGTAATGATCTCCAAATTTTTGCAGTACTTACTTTGATATTTGTAACTTGATGGGTAGAAAGAGAACATTTATGTATTATGCTATGTAATTGTTGTGAAATTATAGGCAATTTTTATGGTTTCAATTTTTTCTCCAAATAAAAAAGTACTTTGGGTTTGTATAAACAACAACAGCATCATGGTATTTATGTGAACTAAGGGTAACGTTTATTATGCATTTATATATTTTTTAAATCCTCTTAGAAATTAGTGTCATAGAAAATATTTGGTTCAGCAGCTTGTGACGTTAGATTTCAATATCCTAGCCTTGTATGTGTCCAGCACCAGGATCCTAACAAACTATGCCTGCTCTGTTTGTGATACCTAATAAAGAGCAGTCAACCATGGTGATATTACCATACAAGATCACTGAAGTCGCACATAAATGACTGCCCATGTTGTTTTTGAAATTGAACAAACAGGTGGTTATTTGTCATTGATGTAAGAAATGGACAAGTCACTCCATATCCATCATTTGCTTTCAGTCTCAATCACTGATCTGTGGAAGATCTAAGGATAAATTCACTTTTTTCCACCTCTGAACTAATCTTACTTTTGTCTATCCATTCTTTTGCAGAGGTTACTACATAATAATTGTGCCTTTGAAGAAATCTCGTGGGAAATTTATCAAGCCATGGGAGAGTCCAGATGAAATGGAATTAGATGAGGTAACTATGTCTTTGTTGCCGTGCCTTTCGTTAGTTATTTAATTTATTAAATCTCCTTCTCCTCTCTATGGAGGTTTTTCAGCATCTGATCTGGGTGCTGGCTTCTCCATGGCTGGCTGGTTGGATGGTTCAGTGCTATGAGCGTGCTAACCTCTAGGGGTTCCAACAAAGATCTTTCCGCTTTAATTAAAAAACATTAAGCTGCAATAAAGCTTACAACCTGTCTCGTCTTTGTTGGCCTTAACAGTTTGCCCCTTGCTCCTTGTAAAACATGAAGTGGAGATGTGGAAGGTGGAGCACAATGTCAGCAAAGACATAATCATCATTGTTAAAAATTGCAGTGTTTGCTTAAGGCTATTACAAACACTCGATTGTACGTTTCAGCAGAGTTCATTTGACCTACTATGTGGTCTTGACCAGTTTCTTACAGAAGTCTGTGGATTAGCAAATGTTTATCTTCTGTAATCTGTAGGTTTTCAGAATCAAAAGTGCATGTAACTATGGCAGGGTGGAGTGGTGGTGGAACAAATCACACGACTTTTGGAGCAAAGCAAGAAATAACAGAACAAAACATAGCAAATTCTAAATAGTATGATTTTAATTTTGAAAATCTTACAAACAGCATACTGTAAAATTTTAATTGATACTTTTTGTAAAAAGAACATTTTTGTGAAAGTTAATATGTATTATGAAGAATGAGACCTAATAATTACATATTTCCATTTAGATAAGAAAACTCTGACCCAGAAGTGTTCAGCTAGATTCTCAAAGGACCACAGGAAATTAATGGCTGGAATTCACATTTTAAAATACAGAAGAGAGTTCGTTATTTTAACATGACGCTGTTTTGAATCAGTTTGTAAGGCAGATAGAACAAGCCCCCCGTTTGGGAAAATAAAAGATTTTAATATATTGAGTTTATTTACAACATAGGCCCATATCTTAAATAAACGTGTAACCTTTTATTTCTAGATATTTTCTCTACCTCAAATCTGGTCACAAAGAGCATGGAAAAGAGTTAATTCTCTAACTGCATTGCAGAAAGGTGATGTTTATTTCATACATGTCTGCACAAAAGAGTCTGTGATCTGACCAAAAAAAGTTGTTAGCTTCCTTTGGCTGACATATGTCTTCTCTAGAAGTGGGATTCGTTAACCTTTCACTTATCTGAATTCAATTTGATCAAGTTCAGAAGAGGAGATGAGTTCAAAGTTAGGCCTATGGTTTTTGTGTCACTGTTTAGTGATTGGATGATCACTGGAGGCGTGTAAAATGAGAAATCATTTCAATAATGTTGTCGAGTAATTGAGGTATATTATTCATTTAATTTTTTTCTATTAATAATAAAGAAACAAAACCATTATTCTGTGATATCAGAGGAATAGTAATTCTTCATTCAAAGATGCAAAATGATCAGCTGGTCTTTTGTAAGCATTTTGAAGCAAGACATGATTTTACTTGCAACTGACTAATCTGTTAATCCTGAGACATTCTCTCCTGTTTTAATCGGTTCTCAGCTGAACTGTCACCATCCCATTTTAGTTGAAATTGGATTTAAAATGCAAAGGCAACTTGTACAATCTACGAATCATTCTACCTATTTTTTTAAAAAGAGTTTTCAAGACTTTGAGATCCAAGCCAACATGACATCAAATACTCTTAACTCATAAGCTTTCCTTAGAAGTAAAGCCATTTGATAATAAGTAATAGGAAGTGATTTTCTTTTACAGCCAGATTTTAACCTCCAAAATGCACAGCAACACACAGGGATTAAAATATAGTGATATATGACTTTGAACTTTCTTGCAATTAAATTCGATGGGTCTCTGCTGCTGATTCCCCTAACAAAGGGTCATTTTAATCATCCAAGTTGTGGTGCATTAATCTGTGTAATAGTTTTATAAAGAACATTTTATTAATTCAGAATTTTGGGGTCGGGATGCGTTGTTTCCCTACTCTTCCTACTGATATAATTGAGACCACATTGTAGAATTAATGGTGGAAGAAATAAGATATGCATTGACTGGAAAATGGAAATTATTTCTGATAAAGAACGAAAACCCTTTGATATATCTTCTGGAATTACCTCCAATACATCTTGTAACTATTGTGGCAAGTAACAAATGAAAGTAGTCTGTGGCCTCACTTTATGCTTACTCATCCAGTTTCTGATCCCTACAGACAGGTTTTTTCTTTTTTTCTACCATGGATAATGAAAGCATTGTAGTAATTTTATCTACAGCTTGGTGCTGCCAGGTTTGACAAAGCAGTGTTCCTCTCTTAAGTGTATTTGAACAAGTAATTTTTCAGAAAGGCCTATAATTCAAATTGCTGGAACCATGTCATCAAATACAAGGGTGGCCTAAGGGGATTTCCACATGTATGCCTCATATCTAGGCCCATAAAAAGCTGAAAGAGGCTTTCTCAACAGAGTTACTCTCAAAATTATCTTCTGAGATCATTTATCCTTGGTCTGGGGTTGCTGTCCACATGATACATTCATAAACTGGCACTCCTCTTCTCAAGGTCAGGCTGGGCAGAGTAGACATTGATAGTCAAAATGAATTTTGGACAGATTGACTCCCAAACTGTTAGTTATATTTAATTCAGAGCAGGCCGTGTAGTAGAGCATAAGCTTTTCATTGCACTCGACTTCAAAGGCTTTCCATTAAATAATGTGGTCACGTGTGGTTGTAACTTCAACACACTGGCTTAACTGGGGTGCCATCTGAGCTCACTTGAACCCTTCAAAACATAACACAGGAAGCATCCTACAGAGATGAGAGCAAACTAAAGGGGCAGGCGGATGGGCCAGGCTTGACCTTAATGAATGACTGCATTGGATCTAAAGAACACCAAAAGACTCCATTTTTTTTATTCTGAAGCACTTCCCTAAGTCTTCTAAAGAAACCCTAGCAAAAGGTGCTCATGGGGATGACAGTGATATGGATGAATTATGACTGTTGTCCACATCTGCAATATGAATAAAATCAAGGTGGAGTTTGATCAGTGAAGAATAAGAGGGGACACAGTCACATAAACAACCGACAGTAAAGGGTTTTGATTAACCAGCATCAAAAAGCTGTTCAGTTCATCTGCAGTGCATTTCTCTTTCCCCCTCTAATGGGCTACCATCATTTACTGCATAGCAATAATAACCCGTGTAATGACTTTTCAGATATACTATTGCATTAAACTTTTGGCGTCAGAGTTTTTTAAATAAACATGTGGAAAGAATCAGGAAAAGGAAATAATGCACTCAACTGTGTGAAGGAAAGCAGATGCAGAAAAATTATATGTCTAAATACAGACTGGGTTAAAACCTCTAGATGATCAGAGCTTAAACACAGTCACAATAGCAAAAACATGGAACCAACCTTACTGCCCGTCGAAAGTGGACTAGGTAAAGAAAATGTGATACATACACATGGTGTAGTAGTATCCAGCCATAAAGAAGAACCAAACTATGGACTTCGAAGCAAATGGATAGAGTTGGAGACCATCACACTAAGTGATCTATCACAGCAACAAAGAGCTGAAGACCACATGTTCTCACTCATAAGTGGGCCCTGAACAATAGTCACGGAAACACGAGGGCGGAATCAAAGGTTGCTGGGCTCTGCTAGGGGAGGGAGAGAGGGGTGGAGGGGGTGGGGGAATGTGACAACACAAAGGGTAGTTGGTCCACCGCCAGGGGGAGAGAGGGCCAGTTGGAAACCCAAACTCTACAGTCTTTGCTACACAAATATTAAGCAAAATCAAAATTCTTTTTAAGACATGGATAAAAAATTGCTGCTTAAATCAAAAGTCATCCCAAGCTGTCACAGATCTTTTTCCTGTTAAACTCTATGAAATAACCAATATTTAATAAGAGAAGAAAAAGATAACTGACATCATATTGAAATCAGTGTAATGACATAACTTTAATATGATTTGTCTCCTAATAAGAGTCAATGCGAAACAATAGATCATCCAAAAATAAATCCTACTTTTTTAGAAATACATGAAGGGCCTGTATATACGTGTGTATGTTTGTTTTCTTCTAGGTAATATGAAAATTAATTTTGATCCACCCTGTCTATATCATTTGGCAAGATATTGAACCCCCCAGAAGTAGGGACTAAAAAAACTGACTCCATGATAAAATATGAGGAATTGCACCCCTATTGCTTAATCAAAGAGTCAAGCCAGAAATCATTAAATGAGTGACAATATCTACTTAATATATATAAATTAAACATTGTTCATTGTATTCTGTGATTTAAGAGGATTTGCGTCATATAAATTATCTCATTACTGAAAACAATCTAAAATGGTACTAACCTCTTAAAGTTTGGCCATATTTAAAGATTTAGATGGCTTTATCTGAGGTTACTACTTGTTTAATAAATCTTTCTGCACGGCAAGGTTTTTATGAAGCTGACTTTTTTTGTTAGACAAGTTATGATGCACTATTGCCCTTTGAGAGAATTTCATTAGTGTAGGAAATGAAATGAGCCACCAGTAAAGGATTTAATTACCTGTGTTTATAACCTGGGCCGTGCAGTCGCAGTCCAGTATCTTAACAGGAAGACAAGCATTTGAAAGATTGAAGAACTGAGATTCACGTGCTACATGAAATGTGGACAAACTATATTTGGGTGATACCCAGTTCCAAATTAATTCCTCTCATTAAACCATCGATAACTTGGGTTATTGTTGTTTACAGTTCTTTTTCTGTTTTCTCCTTTTTTCCGTAAGCTGCTTAAGGAGATATCTAGGAAGCGCAGAAGCATCCGTTATGGGAGAGAAGTTGAATTAAAGCCATATATCGCCGCTCACTTTGATGTCCTTCCCACTGAGTTCACCCTGGGGGATGACAAACATTATGGTGGATTTACAAACAAGCAGCTCCAAAGTGGTCAAGAATATGTCTTCTTTGTATTAGCAGTAATGGAACACGCAGAGTCTGTAAGTTAATCATGACGGCATCTGTTTCCTAGAGTGTGTGCATACATTTTCACTGGGTTAGGATTATTTGGGAATTTTTAGGTGTGTGCATCCTAATTATTTTTCTTGAATTGTTATTAAGGGCAATAGTCTGCTATCTACTTTTTGAACACTGCTGTATGTACTGTTTGAAGTTGCGTGACAAATAAAACCATGTCTTTGATGAAGGGAATTTAGGTGGACCACACGTTTATGAAGGGCTGGACCGATCGGACATGGTTCCTGAGACCCTTCAAAGGAAGACAGATAGCAAGACATTAAGAGCGATCACTGCTCACAATCTCCTTCCCTCAACCTTTTAAAATGACTGTTGTCAAAAAAAGACTGCTCTTACCTTGCAGAATACCTGATAGCCATTGCCCAAGTAATTACAGTGGAAACTAACACCCACTACCACGCAACATAGCCTTTGTCCAAGTATTTGAAAATAATATCTTTGGGGGTGATTGTATTTATTCTCGTGTAACTACCAAGTGAGACCACAGTGCCTCCACCCAGATTCCCATGGAAGGGCTGTCTAGGAAGAGGCAAACAAGGCAACATTTTTATTATGGCGATTTATGAGTGACTTTATCAGTCAAACACCAAGGAAAGTAGAAAATAATTCAACAAAAAGGAGAATTCCTAAGGTGCTCTAAATGATTTGTCTTTTCTATAAGGCATCTTGCTTATACGTTATTTTCTGCTTCACTTGCTTTGAACGTTTAAAGCAAAAGAGGAGAGAAAATGTAGATGGCAGAGGGGAGAATTTGAAGTGGCAATTCACAGGAACATGGATATAGGCCTTCCAAGCTGCATCTTTCTCATGGAGGCCTAAATGTGACAGACGGGGCAACTCAGTTGAGCCAGTCACTTCCTGTATTCACACAGCCCTCGATTTCTCAAAGGTTTCTCCACGTCAGGTGTTAGCCTGTACAGTGGGGCCTGTCTTCAAGTGACTAAAGGCATTCCCCCATGGAAAGTCAGAACACAAAGGCAGCCTCTCCACCGGTTTACCTGTGTGCTCAGAATCTCGTTTGAAAATGAAGCGATGACCTTCCTGGAATTTTAATGTACGGATATGCTTTTCCTTTCTAGTTGAAGGCTTTAAGACAGAACATCAAGGGGATGGAATGTTAGAAATCATCTTTTTCTTTTATTCAAAAAATGACTTTTAGATTTTTGAGAGGAATTTTCTTTTAATAGTTCTAGAAGCGTTTCAGAAAGCACATTCAGAGCATTGAGGTAGGTAGATCAGAGGATTCAGCAAAGAAGAGAAATCTCATCCAGTCATGCAGACTGACTGAACCACTCTTCCACACTCTGGTTTTTATATCTCTCAGACATTTTCACTAGCGTTTAAACATATCACCACTGATAGACAGTCTAGGCCTGCCTTTGGTATGTCTCCTCAATGTTTTATTAGTTATAGAATTAAGGTTTTTTCCCCCAAATACGCTATCTGAACAGTTCCTTTACTCTCTTCATCTTTCTTGACATTGACCTCGAGGCGAATAGTATTCCTTTATGTTTCATATTTGTTTTTAGACGAGCATTTACTTTATAGAAGACACTTGCATCCAGCTAGGATCATATTTGCAGTGATAAAAGTCCTTGCGTAAGCCTCAAATTTCCAAGACTGATTTTTAACAATGTGCACACCCACTCCAAGGTTGCACTGGTAATTTGCAGAGGGGACGTATTTCTCCCCTCCCCCCACCAAAGATACAAGGTTTCCTCTCATCCTTTACGAATATCAGAGAACTGTTTAGAAGGATCTAAAATTTAATATCTTCTATTACTCTCACACACTGAACAAATCCTAGTTTTCATGAGGCAGGTATCACTTTATGGCTTTGTTTTCATTGTCATGTGTTTCTGTTTCTTGATTTGGGTTGGAAATCCCTGTGCTTTGGGAAAACCCGTGCTCAGATTTTCATCTGTATAAACCAAGGTTATTGTCTCAAAGGCACTTGGGAAAGAATTTCAAATCAGAGAGTTTGCTTGCTACTGTTTGCCAAACAACTTGAGCATGACCTACAAAATGGGGGAGGGGACGGCGTAAAACAAAAAATTATACTTATGTGAAGAATCACGTTCTTTAGATATGTAGTCCCTTCTCCAAGACCTTTGTATCCGTGCTTATGTCATACACATTTCGCCCCCACCTCCCGCTGCACTTTTTCTTAGCTGCTTTTAGCAAGTTGGAAATATGTCCTGAGTTTTCATGTTCTTTTAATGCAGTAGAAAATCTGAAAGTCTAGTCAATCTCTTCCTTGGGCACAGTGAAGAAAATGGAAAGAAAGAGAGAGTAGTCTGTAAGCATTCAGTGAAGCATGTGTCTTCCTGCTTGGCTGTGTGTTGTCGTACTTAAATTCGGAATATATGCCCTAAACTCAGTGTTGAAATGATGGCGGTCAAAAAATTAAAATCTTTACTGGTCATGAAAAACGAGTCTGCGTGCTTATGGCTGGATAATCTCAGCCGTTTGGAAAGATGAGCATTTTGTTTTGTTTTATTCAGCAGAGTTTTGCTGAGAACCCACTAAGTGCGAAGTTCTGTGCTAGCGTTTTAAGCATGTAAACACAAGTAGCGTATACACCCCAGCCTTCCTGGAACTTAAAGTTTTATTTATGAGAGTGAAGCCTATGCACAAATAAAACACCAAAGTAGAGTTTGGTGAGTGCCACTAAAATAGGAATAAAGGACTAAAGAAAATGTTTACGTTGACTATTTTTACCTATTTTTGTGGAGTTATTGAGTGCCACCAGTTAAGAAAGGCTGCCTTCAATGGAGGCAGTATTCAAATGGGAGTCTTGGAGAGTTGTTAAACTTTAGGGGCTGAATGTTGTGGAATTTGGGAAAGCGTTAACAGTCAAGAGTAGGGCATTCAGGGAGTCGTGGTAAGAGGCTCACTGTGATGGAATATGTTGTGTGTGGCAAGGATGTTTGAAGCAAAATACCTTTAAGAACCATGCTAAGATATCTGGGTTTTATTTGGAAATCACCGAGAGCCTCTTGGTTTTACAGTTGCAGTTTAGGACAATAACTCCAGGAGCAGTGGAGACTATTAAAAGGAAGAAGAAACTCTTGGTATGGTTAGGAGAGCATGAATAAGGTTCCGAAGAAAAGAGACTGGACAGGGAGTAGGTGGACCCAAGGTCACTGGTAAGGTCAAATCGGGGTTTCCGTTCCACTCCTGTTTCCTAAGGTAAAATCAGTATCCATTCTTAGATACTACGAGGATCAGAGAATTTGGGACATCAAGAGTAGGGGAAGGAGTATCTGGGAAGAAGGGAAATGCATGCAATTCTGAATTTGAGCATGCATGTCAGAGTCTCTAGAAACAATTAGAAATGAAGTCTGGGACTTCGTAGAGTTTCTGAGTTTAGGAGCATTCATGATGAAGTAATCTGCCTAGAGGCTGGTGTATAACGCTGGAGATGACCTTGACTGATAGGGGAGGAAAAGAGAAGCTAGTGGAGAATAGACTTGAAGCATGTTGTTCAAGCAGGGAGTCAGAGGCAGTTAACTCAGCGGGATACTGGCAGTTGGAAAGATTAGAAGAGGGCCAGTGGAGTACGGAATGAGGAGAGACAGAGAGGGCAGTTTTCAAGAAGACTTGATCACCTGTGGCCAATCTGGAAAGGATGTCTAGAAAGAAAGACAGTTATTATTGGCACATGAGAAAAATAGGACCATTGGTAGTGTTCAAGGAGTGTGTGTCAGGAGAATCAGAGCAGCCAGGGGATATGTGATATGTGTTGGTCTTTTAAACTTAATTTTATTTATTTGTTTGTATGTGTGTTATTCTTTATGGAAGGTGGAAAGTAAAAAGAAAACGGACCTTAAGTGAGGCGTAGAGTCAAGGGAATGTTTTTCTAAGATAGGCTAAAATAGGACAGAACAAATTAGGATATTATAGAAATAAAAATTCATAGACATTTAGTCCATTTCTTCTCCAAGTAGCTATGTTTTGAAGGTATATTTATTATTAACTATCGATTGGGACAAAATATACCAACTGAGCAGTAAGTGTAATAAAATGAAATGGGAACTGTTAAATCCTTTTAAGTTCTAAAAATGCTGTTTTATAAAGCCATATTATCAGTTCTGTACATCTTACATCTATAGCTTGAACATTGGAATTATATTTGGAAGTTGTAAACTTTGCGTGTCTATTGTTTGGACTTCATTTTTTAACTAATGTACAATAGGACTAAGCACTAAGTAGCACGGTAGTGTTAAGGACTACTGGCATAATTTAATGTTTAATTAAATACTAACTTACTTTGCCTTATAAATATTTACTTTGTTCTCCTTAACTGTATGATAACACCTCGAGGGCTGGAACTCTTAACTTTTCTCTAGAATTATACATAGCACCTAGCCCTTTGGCACAGCGTAAATGTTCATTCAACATTTTGTGACTTGTCGGTTACCGGTACTTGACACTTCATGAGATTGTTTAATATGCCATACAGATCCCAATAAAAAAAGTATCTATGAAGTAATTTGTACCATCAAAATTATTGTATTACAGGAAATTACACTCTATAAGGAAAGTTACATTATAGAACGTCTTCCTTTTTTCCTTTTTCTCTCCCCTTTCCTTTCTTTTTGTTCCCTCTATTTTGCAAACATTGCTTCACACACTTAGGATCCAATCTACTATGTCCTGGATTTTCGTTTCCTCTCATGCTAAAGATACCCCTAGAAAGCCATCATCCTGTAACTAAAACGGACTCTGCTTTTCCTCAGAAGATGTATGCAACCAGCCCCTACTCTGACCCCGTTGTGTCGATGGATCTGGACCCACAGCCAATCACAGACGAGGAAGAAGGGCTGATCTGGGTTGTCGGGCCTGTCCTCGCCGTGGTCTTCATTATCTGCATTGTCATTGCTATTCTTCTGTATAAGAGGTAGGTTTGCCCAGTATTTCGATGACCATTTTAGGAGCTGCTTGATTGTTGAAGACTTGATGATCGTTGTTTTGCTGTCATTCGGTGCCTGATTTTAGTAGAAATGCCTCGGTATGGTTTCTGATGGTTGGAAAAGTGTGTCCCTTGGAGTTAGATCAAAAAGCCGAGACTGTTCTCTTTGGACTCTCCTTCAGTGTGTGGCACAGACGTTTGTCATCCAGCACTCGTGCATCCTAGCCTCCGTCTTCTGAGCGGCTTCATGCAGATGAGCACTTTCCATGACGTTTGGGAGAGTAACACATTCATAAGCAAATAATTCCATGCAAGTGTTCATTTGATTGCTTCGGATGATTTATTGCTCAATTTCAGTGTTTCTTGAAGCACTATTATACTCTTGCACATTTGCACACACTTCAAAAGTCTAATTTGCACAGGTGCTGAAATAATTCCCTATAGCTGGTTCTCAAAATTTAGCAAAAGCAGCTAAAAATTAAAGCATAAAGAAGGGAAAAAGAGAGAGATGGAGAATACTCTCCCACTTTTCTTCTAACCCTTATTTCAGATCTTCACTAGTGACTTTTTGTAAGTGGTCAAAGAGGGATGCCAAGTACCATTTTCCTTTTTAAAACATCATAATCCAGTCTTTAAACTCTCAAGTGCCAATCAGTGTCTTTGCGATTAGATTGCAAATAATCTTTATCTACTGATTTTTTTCTGATCTTTAAGTCTTTCTCATCCTATTTCTGCTTCTACTACATATAAACAAGATTTTTGCCCGTAGGTCACGGTCCAGTTGGATAGACAATATTAGTAATTATTCCCCTGTATCCCTTCTGACTTAAAATATAATTCTTGTGTGTGTGTGTGTGTGTGTGTGTGTGTGTGTGTGTGTGTGTGTGTGTGTTTGTTTATTTATTTATTTATTTATTTAAAAAATACTCTCAAACATTTAGGTTAATGAAATTCAAAATTTTATTCCTTTATACCAATTTTTAGTTTTTCCAATCTGTATTTTATTTTCACAAAGCTTTATGTTCTCATTTTCCTGTGTGTTGTGTCATGTTTTGGAATGTTATGAAAGTGATATCTTCCCTCTGCTACAAGACAGCTTCTATCTCTTTTCCTCTGCCTCCCCCTCTTCCTTCCTCTCTGCCTCTCCCCTGCCCCCTATAATCTTGGCCTTAACAATCAAAGGAGAATGTCTTCATTTTGGTTCTTGCTCACATGCTTAATCTGATAATCTTATTTCTTCCGTTAATTCTTTTTCCTGCCCATATAGCTCCCTTTTGGGGATTTATATTAATTATGTTCTGCCCTTGGTTCCTTGTTATTTTTATGTTCCTGGAATAGCCCTTTTTCCCCCATAACCTCTTATCTTGACTTAAAAAAAATTCCTCAAAACACTTCTTTTTTGAAAAGCTTTCCTTTAAAAGCTGTGATTCATGTCATTTCAACATGACGAGCAGGTTGAAAAAATAAAGGACAAATGAAAGAAGTTCATAACCATAACCCATTAAATTGCTTATCCTATTTTAGCATTATGAAGAAAGAAAGAAATATCCTTTTTTTTCCCCTGAACACTGCCATCCTTCAATTATCTATGCTATAAAACAGTTGAGAAAGCAAGTGATCAAAGGCCAAAATCTCCTCTTAGATGATCATTTGAATCTTACTATACCAACCCACATTGAGATGTGTGTGTCTGCAGGAACCCACAGTATTTTATTACCTCTCTGTGTAAGAAATGCAGGCAGAAAGCAAGAGGTACCCACATGCCCCAGAATAGTCACAGATCCTGTCTGAGTCTGAGCGGGAGCTGGTACTACTGCTGTTCACGTGCTACTCTTATTACCTGAAGAGAATGCAACAATTGAAAACGCAAAGCAGGATTCTAATTGTTTTCGAGGAAATGTTTACATGGTCATTTTCTACTGTGGGACTCAGATCAGAAAGCAAGTGTTTGTTGACAATTGCATTTCTAGACCATATCACGTGATATTTTGTTATTTGAAATAGAGAAAATACAGGCCTTATTTTTTAAGTTGTATTTCATTTGGCTACTCCTAACTATCATTATGTCATACCGTGTAACAGAGATGTGTATGATATTCGTGAATCAGTCACGCGGATGTGAAGAAATAAGATTATAACTGATAACTTTTAAGATCTATAACTAAGTTTTTCTCTCTTCATCTGCATGTGCCTGGAAAAAAAAATCAACTCATACAATTGTTCCTAATCCTGCAAAAAAGGCTTCATATTTAAGGGTTTTATGACTGTTAAAATAGAGTTGCATTTTTAGTGTGTGCATATGTAAGCATCGTCTAATGCAATTGTTGGGAAATGCACACATCCTCGAATGCTAAGTATATTTAGCTAACCATCTGAGGGCCCGTGAAGCGTTTCTGAAATAGAAATGCTTGCTTCAGCAGTAAAGAACATTCCTGACTTGAAATTCAAGTAGCCCCAACAATGTCCTTCTTGATTATCCTGAGGTAGTTCAAGAGGGAATCTTCTGTACCCAATGAATAGTGTCTTTTATAGCTTGGATAGGAGCAAAGCTAATCATGTAATAAACACCTCATTCCCTTTTTTTAGGTGCCTTTCAGTTTACATGCAGGTCATTGGTAACGACTGAGAATTGAAAGTATCCTTATCATTGTTATTATTGTTGTTGTTAAAATATTTCGCTTCCCGTATGCAAGTAATGCTTTCAGAAGAGAATGAGTATAAAATTTTGCTGACTCACATTGTCTTGATAATCTATTTCATCATATACATCTGCTTATAGGATGCTTGCCTTAGAAGTAGGACTGTAGCTATGCATAGTTTTACCATATAAGAAGTTTGTTTTGCCCATCTGTTTAAGGAGTCTTTGAAACTTAAGCCTATTAATTATATTAATGTGGGAATAACACACTCTTTTATCAGGCATTCTGTTCATTTGACTTTTTAAAATCTAGTAGTCTATATAGATACAATACATTGATAATCAATAATAAAAATGTCACCGAGGCTTTGTTAAAATACCTTCTGAACCACCAGAAAATTAAAATATGTTTGGTATATTAGAGTATTCCAATTTTTTTGTGCTGTGATATTTTTGAAATTTTGTACTCTGTATATGTTATAAGCCATGACTTAAAAATGCAAACTGCAGAGATAAAGATGGTAGCAAGATTTGGACTGGGAGTCAGGAAACTTGCCCTGTGGATAGCTGGTTACATGGAGTAGGAAGTCACACCAACACTCTGGGCTTAGATTTTCTCATTTACAAAGTAAGTGAGTGAACTAGATACTTAAAACATCTTAGTAATAATGTCCTATAATCTGAGAACATTACAAACCAACCAATAGAACTGGTCCTATACATCCATCTGCTCCTACAGAAAAATCCAGAAAGCAATGGAAAGTTATTAGATATTCTATATATCTGCTACATATGTAAGGCCTTCCAGACATTATTGTAGCACTGTACATGAATATTTTCATATAGAAAATAACTATTTAAAAATAAAATGTAACTTAATTCTATGGAAAAACCTTGCAAGATGGATGAAAATGTATATTATGTGCTTTGGGGGAAAAAAACACGTGGAAATGTCTTAGCCACACTTTAGGCAAGATTAGCGTCCTTGAATGATAATAGTCTAGACTGAACATATGGAGAGAGTAAATAATTGCCATCCCTAGATGTTTGTGTGTGGCAACCCTATGGTCTAAGAGACTAAAATATGGACCTAGACCCACTTGTCCAGCTTTTCCCAGCGTCAGCATTGGCTCTCTGCAGGCTTTGCTTCTTTGCTCTTCCCTTTTTGTGTCAACCCGCATGTATTTTCAAGCTTTCGTTAAGGACAGACATGCAGTCCAGAGTATTTTGAGATGCTGCGAAGAAATATGTAGCCACAGCCAACCACACTGGACAATGCTGACTGAATCTTGGCCTCTGAGTCGGCCTCTCCCTAAGTCTGGAATGTCTTTCCTCTCACTCCTTTGACACTCCTTTCGGCTTGGCTAACTCTTAACTCATCCTTTGGGAGTCAACGAAGATGCCTTCCTGGGCGCCTCCCTCCTCTCCTGTTCCCTCTAGCAGTTCAGGCTGCCTCAGTGTCCCCTTTACCGTGCTCTTAAGCTACTTTCTACTTCTCTATTATAGAACCTAACGCATGACTGTAATTGCCCATTTTCTTGACTTTCTGCCTCCACTAAACTGTAAGACTCTGTCTTATTCTCCGTTATGCCCTGGTGTCCAGCGCAGTGCCTAGTGCACAGCGATATTGAGTAATGGAATTTATTCAAGTCAAATAGTATTCAACAAATCCAATTCTCTTTGCTTGTTTACTCCGTCACTCCATACTACCTGTATGCTGGCTGGTAAGAGTTGTAATGAAACTCTTGGCTTATAATTTAAATGTACCAGTTCCAGAAGCTTTAAGATTTATAAATGTGTGTGTCTGGTGAAGCTGACCCTTCCATGGAATTGTGCATTTGTTCATCTAAATGGTCAAGCAGCCCTTTAATCCCCAAAGTGATCATTCACTAAATGGCTCTCTTCCAACCAGGGGAACAGATTTTCCTGCACCTGATTCCCTGATTAAGTGATTGATAAAAAATGAGCAAGTCGGAAACATACTTGTAGGATTTTTTTAAACCTGGTGCACTAGGTAAACCCCTTTAAAATAAAGAATGTAAAGAACAAACCAGTGTTTAGTATCATTTTCATCATTCACTTCATATGTATGTGTTTGTACAACTTAAGTGTGGGTCTTTTATTTTTGGAAAGGAGTGGACTGGATTATCTCATGGTGCCAGATCCTCCAGCAGCATGGGTATATATTTCATTGGCATTAAGAAAGACTGAGTACCATTATTTTTGCAACTGGGAGCTCACTAAAAATTTTGCAGTTTGCCTCAAAGTGAAGATTGTTTGGATTAATTCTTTTCAGGAAAAAGCTATACTCTCTGTAAATATAGTGACTTAAACAATCTACATATTATCACAGGTGAAAGCATCTATGAGCATGAGCTAGATGTGTTCAAAGAGAGTAGCACCTCCTTGACTGGGAAAATATCTGTTCTTGTCAATGGCTGGTTATAAAATATTTTTCTGGATTCGCCCAGCTATACAGATGGGTTATGCTCTGTAGATTAATAATGATGGGTATTGCATTTTCCAAAACTGGAAATGCATCTACTCCTTTATTGGAAAAGAGATGTATGATTGCCTTACTTGTCAAGAGGTGTTTGAAGAAATTATTTCTGCCACTTGATTTAATCTCATGGTGTGTTATTCAATTGTGCAGATTTCTATGCAGTTCAATACAGTTTGCAGATATTTTATATCATTAAAGGAATAACATATCTTAACTGAACACTTTCTTTTACTTTAAATGAATGGGTTTCTTTTATGGAGTGATGTTCTATTCCCATTAAGTACCTTAGTAGTTTTTTTCATGGCCTGTTTCATAAAACTTAAATTATATCTCTACCATCAAGTGCTTTCTGGGACATAATTAGTCGTAGCAGTATTGTGCAGGAGATGAATAAAAGTGAATGTGGCATTTACGCACCCATACAGATTCTTGAATCAGTGATGTGCCCTCCCATGCGCCTTTACTTCGTGATCAGAGGACTGTAAACATTTTTTTAACTATTTTTTAAAATCTCAGTACGCTGTCGTTTTCGGATGTGTGTCGGTTATGTGTCCTTGCTTGTGAGCAGTGTTTCTTAAATCTTGGTTGTCATGGTTACTCTTGTTGCCATTGGCCAACTAACATTTAGCCTTTCTTTTTTCTTTTTTGCTGCATTAAAATGGAGCAGTAAACCTGACAGGTGAGGAATAGAAAACAAACTCCTTCAATGCTTAGTAAGGAAAAACAGGAAGCATCTGATAGACTTTGAGTCATTGAAGAGGTGAGAGTGGGGGCTGGGTATACAAGAGAAACCTGGCAATTGAAAGATGAACAAAGCCTTCATGTCTACGATAATTTTGATATCAAAATGGTTCCAGGGAAAATAAATGAAAGATTTTGTCTACATGAGAGAAGAAAGCCAGTTATCTTTAAAGTCGAGTTTAAAAGGTAGTAAAAACCAGTCTCTGAGTTTTGTTTGTGGTCAAGGTTAAACAAGCATCTGTTTGTGTTACTGTGTCTTACAGAGCAGAAATGTGAGGTGTCCCATAAAACGTTTTGTTTTGTTTTGTTCTGTTTGTTTCTACCAAAGATTTGTTTTCAAATTTGACTACAGATCACCTCACGATACTAGTATTTTTGCACCCTGCAAGTATTACAGACAGTGCCTTAGTGAAAACTCTTACTTCGTTCAAAATTATTATCCAAATATGGATGACAGTGCCTTAGTGAAAATTTTTATCTCATTCAAAATTATTATCCATGTCTTCCAGCCTTGAATAATAACAGCAATAATAATGATAATAGCAAAAATACATTGTGTGATTATTGAATGACGCAAACTAATCTTCTAGCTTTCCAACTCATATATATACATATGCACTTATACACACACACACACACACACACACACACACACACACACACACGTACACGTAAATTTCTGATTAAAATTAAACTAAAAGAAAGATCTCAAAGATTACTCTTCTTTCCATTGTCATATTCCGGTGGCTCTCAGTGAGTGGTCTCTGGACCAGGAGCAGTGGCATCATCACCACTTGGGAACTTGATAGAAATCCAGACTTGGGGACCACCCTGAGACCTACTGAATCAGAAACTCTAGCCATTGATCCAGCAGTCTGTATTTGAACAAGCCCTGCCAGGTGATTCTGATGCATGTTAAAGCCAGAGGACAGCTGCTGCACTATGCTTTCTAAAATCACTTTACATTGGTCAGCAAGCCACTTCTCCAGTGACAGGATTCTTACCACCTCTGGGAAAGTGTCTTGTTTCAGCAGGCACCTCCAGTTGCCATTCACCTAGCAGAAAAACACATGCAAAATATCTGTTTGTTTTCCAGCCTGATGATAAAACACTTTGAACCTGCTTAATATCCACAGGGATCTACCTTTCATTATAACACTTTCCACATTTTACAACTCAATCACTGCCTTCCTGCTCTATTAAAATGCGAAAGTTGGGCCAAAAATTAGATATCGTCTTCTAATCTTCCTCTATTACATAAATGAAGACGCTGAGAAGAAGGTTTGTCATTGACATATATCCCTAGCGGTGATAGAGTTGGGACTACATTTTTAATGTTTTTAATGTTGTGAACTGTTTGAACTGCTCTATCTGAGTATTAATAGTGGAGATTTCCAATAAGCATGTCTTTCTTTTGAAAACCTATACCCCTATGTTTGAATATCTTTGTTCTAAGGCCACATATGTGATCTGCCACACTGTCTCCTTTTGTTCTCGTTTTCTCTCCAAATAAAAGCCAGGTGAGAGCAAGTAAAAATTAAACACCTTTGACACCATAGAGTGGCATTTTTGTTAATATTATCCACATCCCAAACAACCATGTTTTTTTTGTTTGTTTTTGTTTTTTGAGTCGGAGTCTCACTCTGTCGCCCAGACTGGAGTGCAGTGGCCGCTCCCGGCCACCGCAGCCTCGACCTGCCGGGCTCCGGCGATCCTTCCGCCTCAGCCTTCCAAGTAGCCGGAATTACAGGCATGTGCTGCCACGCCCAGCTGATTTTTTTGATTTATTGTAGAGATGAGGTCTCGCTGCCCAGGCCGGTCACGAACCCACGGGACAACCATGTTTTTATACTGTTAACAGTTTCTTCCAGACCTGAAATGTCATGTGATCTTCCATTTTCTTTTCACTCCCATAACTCCTACCTGTGGTAGATACTTCTCACTGCAAGAAATAATCTTGCACTAGGGTTTTATAATAGTAGTGTAACAAAACGTATGATATAGCAAGGCATAATTTAGAATCTGTTTCTAGAATTATTCTTTACGTTTTTCTAATTGAAAATAGGAATGATGAGACCTCTTATAATTTTTTTTTTTTTTTTTTTTGAGTTGGAGTCTCACTCTGTTGCCCAGACTGGAGTGCAGTGGCCGCTCCCGGCCACCGCAGCCTTGCCTGCTGGGCTCCGGCGATCCTTCCGCCTCAGCCTTCCGGGTAGCCTGAATTACAGGTGCGCACTACCACACCCGGCTGATTTTTTGTCTTATTGTAGAGATGAGGTCTCGCTGCCCACGTGAGTCTCGAACCCTTGGGCTCAGGCAGTCCACTCACCTCAGCCTCCCAAAGGCGAGGGATTACAGGCTGAGCCACTGAGCCCAGCTGAGACCTCTTAAAATTTATCAGGAAAAACGTTACCACTTTCATATATGCTGGGCCTAATTTAGACCATTATATGTCTTTTAATATTTTATGACAGTGAATTCAATTTCTTAAAGCTCTTTACCATTTTTATTAATGATGAATAAACTCTTCTTCCAAATCTTATTATTTTTTTCCTGTGTTAGAAAACAACCATTTTAGCATATCACTGTTTAAAAATAATTTGATAAGAATGTAGATAGCAAGAATTATCCATGCTGCGGTCACCAAAAGAAAAGTAAGCAAAACAAATTTAAACCGCTAGTTTTCTATCTGGTTAGAATTTTAGGAGTCTTGGAGGTCATTTCACTGGAACAAATAATGAGGGACAACTTAGTTATTAAATGTTAGCACACCCCTCCTGGTTCATTACGGTTACTGGCTGTAATAGTAATCCCATACCCTGTGTTTTCTGAGACTCTTATCTTGGCAACAAGATGTGATTTCCAACTTTCCTGGAGCCAGAGAGAGAGCGAGTATTCTTTTATATCCCTCAAGCTCTGTGTCACTTAGCCCACCTCAAGGAAAAAGGAGTGACGGAGGTTGTTCTATAATACCTGCAAGAATGAAGTAGATTTTTGCCTAGTTACTTCTAATTTTGATTTCCATAATCTTGCAAGAATGACAGTAGACCCACCTTAGGAAGGGGGGAAAAATCCAGACTTTAATCATAGAATCTGACACATCAGTAAAAAAGAAATGCATCTGTGCAACTTATACAAAACAACCAAAAACCTAAGAAGGGTCAAGGATATTATTTGAAATTCGAAGCCCAACCATTATGTTTCAAGTGGGGTTGATTGGCTAGGTGCACTCAGTGACATATCATTTAAACTATTTTACTTTTGCCTCTTCAGTGGGTAAATGAATCTCTCAGTGTGCTGAGGCAGGCAGATACCCGTATCATGACCACAGTGATATTGTCTACCTTGACACTGGCCTTCAGTCCTTCCTTCACAGGGTCTTTGGAGGTCCTCTTCTTCCTTCTCATGTCTTTCTCACCAGCCTTTCATCTCTTCTTTGCCTTTCCTTCTTCTTTTCTACTCCGTGTGACAGGAGCTGCCAGTGCCTTTGGCTTGTCTCAAAATCCCCGCTCACCTGTGACTGGTAGTATGGCCTGGCAGTGCATTTCTGCCCTGAGGCTGTACCTGACACCTAAGAGGAAATCCCAAAACAGGTTCATCCAAGGTCGTGAGAAAGCGAAGTGACTAATAGGACTCACCCAAGAAAATGTATTCCATCAAGGATGTTTCCCCGAAGGCATTGCACTTGAGCACATCAAGTGCACTTCCCTTTTGCATCAATCTTCCCTTCATTCCTTGGTTACTTTTATTTTATACAGATAAGCAGAGACGGGGTGAAAGGCTATTAACAGGAGCCCTCTGGCTAGCCATAGAACAACCTGGGTGGCATTGAATGAGACCCCATGGCCACAGCAGCACTAATGAGCTATATCACAGTCCCATCACCTGGAGACAGGGAGCATCCCGAAACACTTGACAGCACCGTTTCCCCAAATAAAAATGCCTTTGCTTGGAGCAGAGGTGAGATGTGAGGATTGTGACTCTAGCACAGAACTTGCTGGATCAGCATTTGGAGCAAAACCCTGTTTGAAAATGGCTCCCGTTGGTCGATTAAATGGGTTTCTAATCTAATTCAAGCTGGAAGAAGATAGTACCACTCTGTGATCATTTTTTTTAAATGGATAAAGAAATCTCATGCACAAACATAGCATTTTTTTGCTTGGAAATTTACTAAAATCACACTGTGACAGCTGGAACAAGGGTCTTTAGTAAACCTTGCGAATAGCTTTTAAAACAAAGACAATATATGTTCTTTGAAGAATCACATTTATAGCAAGGCACTGTTAGTGGTACCTTGAGTGATCATAGGGGAGTCCTTCGACCCACTAGGGGAAATTACCTTTTCTCTGATCTTTCTGTGAGTAACTTTCATCAGTGTATTATTAACCGCAGTTAACATTTAACTGCCAGCACTCCTTTTTCTTTCAAATTCGAAAGAGAAAGGGGATGTTGGTTTTGTGTGGTCCCAGTTCTACCGTTAGATGTTAGGACAACTTGGCATCTGAGAAATGCACTTGTAATTACCTGTCTTATGGGAAAATCTAGTATATCTCCACTTTGTAGTCACCACTAATATATCCTTAGAAAGGGGTGTGGGCAGCAGACTTCACTGTTCAGTTGGAGGCCAGGTGGTTTCTCTCTGGCAGCAACAAGCTTAGTATTGGCTACTACAGCAATGCTATTCTGTTCCTCACACATCACACTAGTGCATCAGAGCCACTACCTCTACAAGGGGACAAGCGTATCTTACCAGCACCCCTTAAAGGAAGGATTGCTGAACTCTTTAATCCTAGAGTTCAAGGAAGACTTCAAGATCATCCATGTCAACACAAAATTCAGGCCAATAGACAAAAACCAACAGGAGCAAAGTTACGCTAGCCAGGTTCAAAAATTTTCAAACCCAAGACTTGGGGGCAGAGGGTGTAAGGGTGCAATGCTCTGCTTTTTTGTGTTTCAGTGGGTTTTTTGTTTGTTTTCTTCTTAAAATTCCATTTTCTCCCTATAGGAAGAGGGCAGAATCTGACTCTAGAAAGAGCAGCATACCGAACAGTAAAGAGGTCCCTTCACACCACCCCACAGACCCTGTAGAACTGAGGCGCCTTAACTTTCAAACACCAGGTAAGGAGACCCACCTTTTCCACCTACAGTCTTTACTCAAAGTTTTATAGCTCAGTGGGTGCTGTCTTGAGACTTGAATGGTTCACTTTATTTCAACCCATTTTGTTCATCTTGCTCTTTTATTTTAACGTTATTGAGGCTTGCCCAAGCAAAAGTCGGAAAGAAAATTAAGTTGTTTGTGCAAATCTGCAACGGGGTGGGAAAGAAAAAGAAATGTATTTCTCTTTTACATTTTGGAAGAGCTGTAGGATTTATGAGACTGTCTACCATTTGTATGAGCTTGACATAGTCTATTATTTCCAGTGACATCCATCTGGAAGGAGTCCCGTTTCTCATCTTACAAAAAGAATGAATGAATACGTAGATGAACATCTTTCATTCCATGGGAAATCATAGATTCGATCTATGTTTTCCTACCTGTTATGCGCATGGTACTTTGAAAGAAAGAGGAAAGGGAGCCGGGTGTGGCGGCTCAAACCTGTAATCCCAGCACTTTGGGAGGTCAAGGCGAGAGGATTCCCCAAGTCCAGGGGTTCGCGACTAGCCTGGGCAAGTTGGTGAGACCTCGTCTCTACAATAAATCAAAAAAATTAGCCAGCTGTAGTTCCAGCTACTTGGAAGGCTGAGGCAAAAGGATCACCTGAGCCCGGTGGGCAGAGGCTGCGGTGGCCATGAACATGCCACTGCACTCCAGCCTGGGTGACAGGGTGAGAAAAAAAGGAAAGGAAGGAGGGAGGGAGGAAATGTTTCTATTTTTTAAAATATTACTTGCTTAAATCTCATTGATTGATTCAGGTTTCTTACTAGGGAGACGTGTAAAGGGGCTGAGGATAGAAAAATATGCTTGTTTCTCAAAATAAAGAACAATACGTGCTTTAACAGAGGAAAACTAACATTCCTGCTAAGGGACGTTTTGTCTGTGATTGCTAATTCAAACCTAGATCTCTAGGTTTTCTTTCAATTAAAGCTTCTTTATACCAAATGAATGGCAAATAATAAATAGAAAGGGGCCTGAAAGTATAAGACTGAGTGGCACTGTCTTAATAACTTATGATGATGAACAAAGGAAAAGACTGATCCAAGAAGTCTTTTGGATGAAAATCTGGGTGTAGTATTGTACCCTGAACTGTCAGCAAGTTTCTTTTGTGTGACATGAATGTTCTAACTCACGGTAGGATGTAGTACAGATTTATTAAACTTCACATTCACCATGAATTACTTTGAAATGAAAATAAATGGTTTCTTGTGTTTAGGAATTTTTTTTTTTTTTTTACATGTAGGTGTATCGTAGTATCTGTAACTCTTCACCTGAAAGAAATGCTTAGAATTTTTTTTTTTTTTTTTTTGAGAAAACAGGATTTATTGAGAGGACAGAAAAGCTCCCACAGTGGGAGGGGACTCGGAGGGGTTCCCCAGATTTTTTTGTTTTTGTTTTTGACATGGCAGTTTCTTTAATGATCTATTTTTGGAAATCACATACCATTGCTTTCACAATATTATATTACTCATACGGGTCAGCCCTTTTTAACGTGGAAAGGGATCCCTCAAGGGCACAACCATCAAGAGGCATGGTCACTGGTGCCACCTTCAAGACTGGCTTAAGAACATTCATGACTCGTGGGAGGGATCAAAATATCAACATGGACAGGAGCTTGGAAGAAATTGATTACAGTCCTCACAGATGACTTTGAGGCGTTCAAGACTTGAAGGGAAGAAATAACCATAGGTGTGGCTGAAACAGCAAGAGTATGAGAATTAGAAGTAGAGCCTGAACATGTGGCTAAATTAGAAATGCTTAGCATTTTTAATGTGGCTGTACAATCGCCATAAATGTGAGGTTTTCTAAGCAATTTCCAACTCAAATTAAACTTTTTAAAAACATTATTTTTGAAAAAACAAAGACATACCTTCATTAGCACAAAAGGTGGAATAAAGACTGATAATGTAGACTGGAGTATGTGTGACGATTGAACAAACTGGGGTCACCCTCCAGGGCGATTGTGTTCCCTAGATGCTGCATGTTGAGTTGCCTTCTCAATGCGTTATTAAGGCGACTTGATATAAATTAAGTTTCTGTGTGAAGTTTTCTTCGTTTAGCACTTTTTGAAATAGGAGGATACTGACTGCTTCAGACTACAGGCACCTTTTTAATAACGGACGGGGGACTTTGTGTACATTTCAGTTTGGCTAACATTTTGGTTTGTGTACATTTAGTTTGGCTAACCTGCAGAGGACCCAAAAGCCAAATAAATGATATGCTACATGCTTCCTTGTGTGTCTTGTCTCCTGACCCTTTAAAAGAGCAACGCATTGTGGAAGTGGAGAAAATGATCAGGGCTGTCAGTACCCAGTTGCTACCTTTGTACTGCCCCTAATTCCACGGGCTTCTGTGTAAAATGCCATCTGTGCTAGAACCAACCCTGGTCTCCTACCAGAGGCAGAAACACAATATTATGGTGCTGAGTAGACAGGCCGAGTTAACCCCCAAAGAAGAGAGCTGATGGGAGTGCTACACCTTGTCTCCTCTAGCACCAACAGAAGATGCCGTCAGCCATATATACACAGCAAGAATGGAAACTGTATAGAGAGGATTATTAGCAAGTACTGCAGACTGCAAGCAAAAGGGTGGGAATGCCTTCAAGAGACATCTATCTACAAGTATTTCATTGAACTCAATAGTTATATTAAGAATTCCATTTCCCCACGGCATGTGGGAATATTAGATTTATTTTTAGAATCTGTTCAGTTTTATGCAAGACACTGGAAAGAAGAATGAAAGTTACCATTGGAGTAACGTTGTTTTTTATCACCAGTGACTACACAATTAAAATGGAGACGTACGTATGTGGGAAGGTATCATTTAATAAAGTTAGACTTATTACCTCAAATGGACAATAAGATAAAGTGAGCAAAATAGGTTAAGAGAGAGAGAGAGAGAGAGAGAGGGAGAGAGGCTATGTAGTAGAGGAAGAGACTAGAAAGAGAGAAGATGTGCTGAGATCCTAGCACATATGTTCACTCAGGAAACAGTATGCCATGCCCTTTAGCTCAGGTTAGCAATCCACTTAAGCTTGATTTGTTGAAATAGTCTATTTGCCTCCTAAGCTCTATAATGTGGCCTGCTGTCCTGAACATTTTACCATTTTACAAAGGAAATAGACTCAGTTGTTAATGTGAAATTCATAGAGATGTGACCATTTGCTTCAGCCAGTATGGATTTCAGCCGTTGGCTGAGAATTACCTTAATTACTTGCCAATAGGATAAGAGCAGAAGGTGGGATTGTTAACCAAGTAACCTTTCTGTGCTTGTTTTTTTTTTCCCCTCTCCTCTTAGTCACAAGGAATCAAGGGTTTTCCCGCATGATGAAGTAAAATAATCCTTTTTTAAGTGTTGCACTGCAGGTGCTAGACTCTACCTCATTTTTCATTTTTAAAATTCTTTACATTTCACTGTCTGAAGTACGCTTTTGGGTACATCATACCTATGAATGTGTAATTACCTATCCCCCGATATTATAATGCTTGAGAATATTTATTAATACTATGCATAAGTAGGGAATTGATAATCCATGTCTTCACTTAAAAAAAAAAAAAAGATTTTCAACGAAGTAAGAAAACTGTGATTTATATAACCAGTATCTTGTACACAACATGTTCATGAAAGCAAATTGATTTCCACTTCTGATGGGTCTTTTGTGAATGACAAAAAGCCAAACAAATATTACCATTTGAAATTTAGTAGGCTTTTCAGAAGGTAAAGGAAGCACATCGCTTAGTTCAGTGATTCTATAAATTCTACTTTCTTTTAAAAAAAATCATCTTGTGAGTGAAAGATTCATTTACATTTTAAGTTACTTATTCTTGCTGGAGAGTCTAGATTTAAGGAGTCAGATCTTTTTTTCCCCCATTCCACCTTCTATTCCAAGTTTCATATAAATACTGCATTCTGACAATGTAAGTATGTCAAAGAACTATATGCAGTGCCACAGATATACTGGTCAGGAAGAAGTCAGAATTCTGTCCACTGCTGGTCAACTAAGGCACAGAGAGAAGACTCAGAAGGCTGCTTTTATTTTTCCCCAGCATTACCATCTTTGTGAAGTTGGGGAGTGTGAGGAAGTACCTTGCTGTAGCAAATTTTCGAATTTTTATAAAAGAGTCAAGTCACTCTGTTCATGAAACACTACACAGACAGCTAAACAGGCTGGAGAAGCTCATGCTTTCACATTTGAAAGCTGGCACCTCTGCTTGTAGGTGTTTTCTATGGTTGTTGTATCTGTCTTATTAAGGTTCAGATGCTAGTGTATAGCCAAGTTGTATTTGAGAGATCCTGAGATAACTTATCTCTTAAGAGAATAATGGTTTACAACAATGAGTCATCAATTGTTAGTGTACAGGGTCAGTCAGAACCAGTGTGGAACGGTTCATTAGAGTGGCATTGTTTACATCACCAATAACTTTACCAAATTAAAATGAGGACTTAAGTATGTAGGAAGATATCATTTAGCTATGGCTAGAGTTATCAGATAATGGAATAAGATGGACAAAATGAGCTGAAGAGAGAGGAGACGTCGTGGAAGACTCTACTAGAACTATTAACTGCTGATCAAGTTGTACAAGTCTTTAAGATCTGTGGAGGAAAGGAAGACAATTTTCACTTACAAAAGATGCCATTAAAGGAAACCTCAAACCTCTTTGTGGAGAGTAGTAATTGAGTATGTGTTGGAATGGGTTGATAGATGTGTTACATGCTAAACAAAAGAGGACCGTGCTGGCCTGGGGAGGAAGGAAAGTTTTCCTTTTTTTTTTCTTTTTGAGAAATGTCCAAGTTATTTTAGTCCCTCTTTCTCAATATATCTTCTTGTTAATTACAAAAGCAACACGTTTATTGGAGAATCTTGGAAAATAGAAAACAAGCTTGTTAAAAATTGTATTGAGGTTGTGGTCATGTGGGTTAGAGTTAGGGTTAGGGTTCATTATACTATTCTCAAATTTTCTGT